TTAACTAAAAATATTTGATAAAGATTTTATATAAAATTTTTAATTATTATTTATATAAATTACTAATTTTATTTAGTGATAAAAGGACTATATTATTTAATAAGCCAACACATGCAGTGTACCCCTTCGACTTTTTGTGCGGTGGCAGATTAATTCCTCAGCTGATTTCCTGCGCAAACTAACCTTCAAAGTTCAAACTCATCTTCCTCAACGTTATCAATTAATCCATTAACTTCACAGCAAAAGTTACATGGTTGGAATTTTCATGGAAAACAGTGATCACTTGGTATTTGTTTTAAGTGATAATATATTGAGTAGTAATATAAAAATAATTTTTTTATAATTTTTTATATAATTTTTACATATTATTAAATAAATAAATTTATTTAATATCATAAATTATAAATAAATAAATAATTTTAATAATTTAAATAATACTTGAAATTATATTAAAAATTATTTTAAATTATTTTTTAATATATTTTTAATCAGTTAATTAATATTATACATATGCTTAGTTGGTATTTTTATTACAATAATGACAATTTTTATTTTATTAACCAATAATAATGTATTTTACTCAAATAATGCTCTTCAATCCCTTCCTAAATTTATTAAATCATTTAATTAAACCCCTTAATTACTAAAAGATTTTTTTAACTTCTCAATATATTAATACATTTTTTTTTCATTACACCACTGTGGATTAGATTTTCGATCCTTAGGGATCCCTTTTCCCATTGCAAGAATATTTGTAAAATTTACCAACGATGGGTTGGATTAAGTGGCAAGCGACTTATTTCAGTTTAAGTAAAATTTCGAATTCGAGACCTTGTGTACGCAGCAACTTTTGTTGGGAGACCCACCCACCATTCTAATGCGTCACAGTTAGTCGAATCTAGAATAGTCGGGATGAAACCCCATATACCGGGCGAGAAACCAAAGAATATTTGTAAAATTTACCCTTGTTAAAAAAAAATTCACGTTTCTTTCATTAATTGTTATAAAAAAAATAAAAATTAATTTTAATTTTAGTAACTAATTAATTAAAACTCAAGTAGTTGAGACTTAAAAGTTTATTTTTTATTTTATTAATTAAAATTTAATTTTTTTAAAAAAATTAATAAAATAATTTTATATAAATTTCATAATT